ATATACTGTTTTTATATGTTGATTTTATCTGACTCGTTATAGCTTGATGGGAACTGTTAGAAGTCTAAAACACTGTGTAAAATAAAAAGTAAATTGTGAAGTAATTCGACTCTTACCCTTTCATTAAAGGGTTAACAGTCTTCTGTTCCAGATTTATAAACTGCCACAAAACATGAAAAAGTAGAGAAATTTTGGAAAATTTTACTGAAAAAATTGCTTTAATTCCGTCTTCCAATAAACCTAAAAAATATTGGAAGTAATTCTAATAAATGATTGATTCTTTTGTTTGATTAATTAAATTCTCAAAAATTACACATTTGGCGTCAACCTCAAAATTATATGTACAAGCAAACAAACATTACTTCCTATTAGAATTCTATAAAAAAATTACTTTCTTACAGAAATCAAAAATGTTAAACCATCTTTGATCAGGTTGTATGCTCTTAGCATGTAGTTTTAAATTACTGGCAATATGCGAAAAGAAAACATTGTTAGTCACACGTCAGTAACAGAAACCCGGCACAATCAATTATCATAAATTTAAAATAACAAGCAAATATTCCATTATGCATTTTCAGTTTACGTCTAACTGTTGGTTAAGCAAAGGTGATATTACGGGTCTATCAATTCATTTTCATTTAAAAAGTACTCGAAATTCATCAATTAAATTTCATTAAAAAACGTAGTCGTACTGGGAGCAAAACAGGTTAGTTAGCAATGAAGAAAATTTTTGAAAAATTGTATTCCGTACATCTATATTTTTTACGATTTAATTGGCAAAGAAACTAACAAACTTCAAAGCTTATTTATGTCTTGATTTATTTGAAATTAATGATTAATTTGAGGAAAATTGTATACAAATTTGAAAGGTTGGATATTTCGAACATGTTACTTTTATTATATTAGGTATATTGCATGGGCATTTGACTGAGCAATCAGCCTACGAACCTTTTTCAATCATGTGTTCTGTTAGACAAACATGCATGGCCATTTGGTCTTCTCTTTAAAAAAATATAAATTTAGCTGTGCAAGCTATTTGCTTTTATCTCTAAATTAGGCATACAGGCATTGTCTAAGCAAATAAAATGTTATTATATAAGTCACATATTCGTGTTTTTGGTTGAACATCCAAGAATGCATACAATCTACAGTCAGCTGACTGAAATCCATATTCATTTTAGCACCAATGTTTCAATAGACTTTGCATAGACTTTCATTCTTAAGCTGCGAGTAATAAAAAAATAAGCATGTTCGAGAGAAATGGTTTTTTTATATCAATGAAAATAAATCATGGCATCTATTTTTCTCGTTGATAGCAGAGCTCTAGTTTGTCCTCACAATGGAAATTAATTATTACCTGTTTTCGAATCAACATGTGTGAAATTTACATGATGGGTTACAACTGGGTTGCGTTATTTACCATATAATAGTATGACATTCTGCATCCCGATATATCCAGCGTAAAAGCATGCTTTCAAACGAAAAACGTTTTTCAATCTGATTTTTACTATTAAATGAAAACTTTCAATAATCAACCTTCGGCCTTCAATCATATTTAAAATTAAGTGTTGTTTTCCATTTTCCTTATTTTTCAGTGTATTACGTGTATACGGAAATGTGATTTGACTGGTTTCTACGAAAATCCAAAAATGCAAATGCTATTTCTAAAGCTTTTACAGATTATATAGATAGATATGATAGGAGATATAGATTTATAAGAATGCATATAACATTATTGCTTTGCCATTTTTAATCCATTTGAATAATTGAATTGATGCATTTTCCGCTGCCATTTCTTTGCGACAATCAAGTTGTCAGTAACAAATATACTTTATTATCAAGCTCCTTTTAATTAATCTATCACTCAATCTATCACTCAAGGTATAATTTGTTGTCGTTAAATGATAGTTTTCGTTGAGCATTTAAATACATTTCTATATTTTTAACGTATTTTTTATTGCAGCGCAGCAATTAAAGTTACTTAAAGTAGTTTGTGTCTTGTTATTTTCAGTTGAAGTCTTTAAGAAGTACTTTTAAATGATTATTTTTAACGTTTCTATTGTTTAAAACGATTTGCTCGGCTCCCAGTTTGCATGTTCGCATTTGTAAGTAATTGTGAAACTTTACATTGTTTCTGAAACGATTTTCCCAGGAAAGATCCACCTGCTACAACAAAGACACTTTTCATTTTAATATAAGTTATCTCTCTGATTAATTCATTCAGCTCAGAGTTTTCAATTTACTACGTCCTCTAATATATTCGTTATGGTATGCTCCCATGTGTAAAGCTCTGAACTGTAAAAGCAATTTGCAACTTTTAGGAGGAAATTACTTTTGGTACATTTTGAATTTTGCGACATTATTTCTTTCAGTTCTCTAAAATAATTTGTCATTTCACCAAGAATAACTTATGATTTGCTTGAGTTAAAATTTAAAGTGTAAAGATACGCGTGAGCACCATCGAAATTGTTGTCTACTTTCTGCACGTATTACCGTACAGATGTTCAAAATGTTTTATCTTGTGGAAAACAAATTAAGCTATGTTACTTGAAACATTCGTCCTACAAAAATCGATACGGCGTTAAAATCCGTGTAGTTGGTTTTTACTTATATTCTGAAGTAACAGTGATAATGTGTAGGCCCTGTACAAAATACAAAACATACAAATTTCGGAGCTCGTTAAATTGCAAATAACAGTTCCTTGTTTTTTTTGGTGATTTCTCTATTTTCTCGCAAGTTTAACTTTTTACGTTTCATGGCTATATGTTTGAGCTTGAAACAATTCCTAGGCAAACATGGAAAAAAATTTAGTTATTATTTGAAACGCTTTCGTTTTGTGCAAATAACTTTACCAAGGCGAGCACTATAAATATATCAAATATAACAACATTTTTTATCTGAGGACTTTAATGTTGGTATCTTTTGGTATTGATCCTTTGTTAGCCGAAGCCAATTTTCTCTTGAAATGGATTTTGTTTTCACATATTTTAATTTTGCAAGTTGGATTAGAAGCTTAAAGTAAAAATGTCTCACGAATAATATTTGTTCATAATTGAATAGGGATGTAAAACCAATTATTAAGTTATGATTTGGTTTTTTTTATGGAAAGGAACAAGGAAAGTTAGAAATTCATGTTAAATTAATATTTTTGTAGGAACGTTATAGATGTTTTCAGCAATTGTACTGAATGACTTATATGAAGCAGCGGAATTAATGGAAATTTATTATTAATCAATTTGTTATTTATGTTTATTTTTATTCATAAACACTAGGATATTCAACCGTCAAATTTGAGCTCAAAGGTGAGTGACGATTGAAAATTGTTTAGTGGGGAGCCTGTTAGTTAATATTATAATTTCTGCGGTAAATTGGTGGGTTATTGAAAAATTCCGTAATGGCTATTGTTAAGTCATCGTATTGTTGGAAACAGGTTTTTGGGTTTTCAAAATAATATTGCTGGTTTTGGTGTAGTAATCAATTAATTTGGATATACTGCTGAACAATTTGCTTGAGTTCGCGAGTGTATAGCCAGAGTTAAATCATGTGTAATTTGATAGGAACGCAGTAAAGCTTAAAAATATATCTTGAGATTGTTGAGCATTCACATGATTGTTTATTTTATTGTGCTGATAAAGACTGTTGTGACTATCGTTTGATCAAACTTACCATTGCAATCATTGCATGCTTGGTATATTGCGCAATTATTCAAATTGCGTTCAAAATTTTGTTTCAAATTGTTGATAATTTTAAAATTTCTTGTTAAGAGCGAAAATTAGGAATTCTAACGTGATATCGCGTACTTATGTTTGAATACAGCGGCAAATTGGTTCAGTCAATGGATACGTAGTTTTGAATGAATGTTGAATTGCAATTGTCTACACGAGTTTTAAATAATTAACATTATATTGTAGGGCTCATTCACTTCGGTCTTTAGACTATGACATCCTGTACAACACAGGTATTTTATCGGCAAGTACATTAATAATAAACATTTGAATGAATGAACATATAGAATATTTGAAAACGATTGACTATTCATGCTCAAACTGAAACGTGTTGAATAATAAAAATGATAAAACAATAGATGAATAGAAGCCCGATCAGATTATTTAATCTCCATTGTCTGCCACCTTCGACTATAGATTAATGCAATTTAGTACACCCTATTTGCATTTGAGTGGGCAGTATTTCTAGTATGTGTTTTGGAGTCTGCCGGCTCTCCTCCAGTTATTCATATAATGTTTCACATTGTTTGTTTTGTGATTTCATTTTAGCGGTATGTGGTTAATAATATAATAGGGTTTTATTATGTTAGAATAAAGAAATAAGACGAATATTTCTTGTATGCATGTTATCAGTAATGTGATATTATCGATTTGCAATTTTCACCTTCATTTTCAATGCTTCTGTCGTTCCATTGTCTACTTTCATAAAAATTCTCATTCCGCACTTTGCAGCACTCTCCTGAAAATATCCCCTTATAGTCATTCAATTTCCAGAGAAACATTTCAGGCTGAAATTCGCAGAGTATTCCGTCTTTTACGCGTTTTTTACTTTGCTTCGATCGATTAATAAAAAAGTTTGAAAACGAGGAATTTTATTAGTCTGCACAAGAGCGGAATCTGAGCTCTCCACCAAGTCGAGATATTTGAGTTCTCCAATAAGCTTCACATTCCTCACACTGTGAAGGTGAAATAATAACGTATCGCAAAGAAATTCGACACTAATACGAGAAAAAATTATAAAATATCGACCGACTTCAAGGAGTTTATCTACGTCTACTCTGCAAGAAGCGATGTTTGAAAACTTTTACGTTAATCATCCGGCTCGAAATGCGTGGTCAATAGTGCATATAATCTATTTGACTATAATGAACAGCAAACATTTCATGGTTGGTTAGAATAAATGTATGTTTTTTAAAGCTTTGTAATAGTCACATGTTTTCCCTTTTAATCTTGTCACATTGTAATAAAATTTAACGTATAATTTTTTTATTTCAGTTGCCGATTGTTCGCTGAGGCAGTTTACATGTGCCAATAAAAAATGCATACCAACTGCATTTCTTTGTGATGGAGAGAATGATTGCGAAGATAACTCCGATGAAAATCCTGTTCATTGCTCAAGTAAGCAATTCTTAAGTATTACATGCATTAGCATTAGCTTTTTAAGTTTAATTCACTAACTTTTTCTAAGTTTCACTAACTTTTTTGTAACGCATGTTATAAAACATATGATTATAGAATACTATTCGTAAATTTATGAATTAACTTTTAGTTTTGCTGGCTGACTAACTATATATATGTGTGTATGTAATTCCAAATGGAGGTGTTTCCTTATATTTTACAAATACTGAGGCATGTTTTTGAATTCATTAACGGACTAAATCAAAGCATTTTGCAATATATTAGGCCGTCGGTATTCACGTGTTGCAGTTAATGAACTCGTTTTGGAAATGTATGCTTGATTTAGCTGCTGTTACTGGCCGTCAAATCAAGAATTCAATATAGTTAATTATCAATGTTTTCCGGTTCGACTGACATGAAATAAATGTGGAATTGGTGCTTGACTTTATGGTTGAATAAAGTGTTTGACACTTCAATTTGATCATATCAATTGTATATCTCAAGTTTTATCGACAAGTGTTTGTATACATTTATCAGTAGCATCTTTTCTAATAAAGAAAGATATTGAATAATGCTGCTTTATGCGTTTTAGATACGCATTTTATTTCTTTTATTGCTGGTGTTATTTAATTTTTTTATCAATAATAAGTTTACTTCGGTACGTTCTCTCGAAATCCAGTCGCAACTCCATTTTTTTCCAAATGGTTCGGGCTTTATTATGAAATAATCCTGTTACCCTTTTTTGCAGAATTTGCAGGATTTGCAGGATTTGCTTACAGACCCAGATTAATTTAGGTTTTATTGCCAAGGCAATATGAAAATCTATTTCCCATGCACTGACTGTGTTATTATATAGGAATATTGTTTCTTTTCCACTGCCCTTCTTTGGGTATACTGAGATTGGTATTATAACCCTGCAGTATGGCATGTATTTTCCTTTCAAGCCCTGTAGAATCTTCTCTCAAAATATAAAAACATCCTCGCAGCTTGATGTTTTGCTGACTCGACTAAGCAAATGTGATTTTTTATAGGAATAAACGATTTGAATTGAAATATTTCATATGCAATAGATGGAGATGTCTCTTCTAAAGGAATTATCATGGATGATTTAGTGTACACTAAAAATATGCATCCCTTGAAATCAATTTAGATGGGACAGAGCGCTTTGAAAAATGTTGTTAATGTTAATATTACTAAAATATTTGCATGGGAAATTTTAATTCGAGCCTTTTTTAGCTTTGTTCCTTCAATGAAAAACTATATTAATATAAATCCTTAAATCAATATTGAAAGTTCTGTAGAGTGGCGGTGTTTCAGATCAGTCAGATTGCATGTATGTGGATTTTTTATCGGCTTTTTTCACTTTTCATTTATGCTTCAAACCACAATTACCAAAAATCTTGAATAACTATTATTCTAAGTTTTAAACATGTTTTGCTGGATCCTAGTATAGGTATATAATCAAAATGATAAGCGCAAATGTTAAAATAATAAAGTTAATTTGACGCCCTTTTAAAGTATACGAAAGCATACTGCACTTTTAGTACACAATCGCAATGTCAGTAATCTTCTGGAATTACTGGAATGAAAACCGAATTACTTTTAGATTTGGCAAAAATATGGAAAACTAATTTTCTAAATACGCGTTGTCAAGGTCCTACTTCTATTTTTGATCTGGCATTTTTAAAGGCGTTTGTTTACTTCAGAACTTCAATTATAGAAGATCCATCTTTTTGCACAGTTTTATGGGTAATATACGCCAATTTTCATATTTCGATGCATTTAAATGTAGCACGTGCTGACAACGTTCAGTTGCTAGAAAAATATTTTGCAAACAATGTAATTAATCATGGGGAATATTAATTTAAATATTCTAATATTAATTAATGGCTATAGCACCTTAGCATTCTAACAAGACTATGGAAAGAGATGTTGATTTCGATTAGTTAGATATAATTGTCACGTTTAGTTGCAAGATGAGAGAATCTCGGCATTGACAGTAAATGCTTGCCACTTTTTTATTGCTTTTGGGTCGATAATAGATCGAAAAATTGCGATATGGAAAACGTATGTATGCGTAAAACGAATATAATTCCAGAATGTCAATTACAACATCATTATTCCATATGCCTAAAACTAGCTGAACATTAAATGTTTTATTAGCTGTATTAACTACATCTAGGTGTTAAAAGTTGTAAAATTTGCGTACCATTAATTCCGAGTATGAATAATATTTAGTCGAAGCATTTCATAACAACTTTCAATAACATTGGAAAAATTCCAAATTAAACGGGTATTCTGGATCTCTAAGGTACGCAATATTGTTGTTGTCTTTAGGTTCAGTATCTGAGTGTAATGAGGCACTTGTCTTGACGTTTTGTGGTATAAATAGATAAATAAAATGCATGTCTTTCCGTCAATTTTTATTTGCCTCTGGTATTCTTCATATAAATTTACTTTGACGCTTTACAAAATACCATATAATCGCTGGATCTGGCTGATCGATCAGTGGAAATAATTTGAGAGGCAATCAATCTCGTTATCAAAAAAAAATCATTTGGTCTTCGCGCTGAAGGGTTTCAAAACAGATCGACTAAGGTTTACAGTACTTTTGAAAATTAGGAAAGTTTCTACAATTCGATGTAGGCGAGCCTCTAAAATTTAGGCACCTTTTCGGAAGAATATTTGCCGAGCAGTTTTGTTATGCGAAGGGATTAGTACGATTAGATTCGCAACATTATTTTCCTATTTTTGATTTACTAGTTTGAAATTGGATCGAAATAATACGGTGTAAGTCATTTCAACTGCCCACGTTTTAGAGATTTGTTTCTGCATCAGCAGGTCCAGACATTCGGATCCAATTCCAAAACAACGAAATTCATGTTTTCTCACTTAATTAACAAACCGAAATTTGAATTTTGTCCTACGATTAAATGACTGCAATTTAATTGACTTTACATCCAACTTTGGTGTATATTTATGCCTTAATCACCATCAGGTTAAAAACCTAGTAATTAAATGTTTAAATAACTAATTAACACACACTCTGTAGTAGTAATTACGGAATAGCAATTAGTTTAGAAAAATTAGCTGTCCAGGAGGCACTTTACTAGGTACAGTTTACTAGGTACCTTTACAGGTACTACTTTATTTCATATAGTTGTTTAACAATGATCTTTATGAAGATAAATCATGATTTTTATGAAAATATATACATATTTGGGAAAATATATGCTTGGTTCTAGCGATATGGTGGAGGCGGATTCATGTTTTCGAGACCTTTTGGTTGAGTTTTGCCTTTAAAAATAACGAAAAGTGGAAACGCTTATAACAATATATTTTACAGATTATATAATACAATATTTTACAGGTTTGTATTCAATCATCCTTATTTAACATTATACTAATAAACTTTTTGTTTCTTTTATCTGTAACGAAAGCGGACTTGTTATCGCGACGTGAAGGTAACTTTTCTAAATTGTTTTCTTTCCTAATTAGAATTTTCTATTACAGCTTGACCCTGAGTATGTCGTATGATAACATATAAGTGCTAGTTTCTTAATTACTTTTTGATAAAAAAATAGCCTTTTCTGTAAATTTAAATAAGAGAGAAGCTCTGTTTATCCATTCATATTTAAAAACGTGAAGAAATTTTCTGTTTTTAACGAGGTAAGCGTTTTTGATGCGAAATACCCAACAAAAAGGTTTTGGCTGCTATTGTACAAAGTATATAATTTTATTCCAGTCAGACAAATCGTTTATTCAAAAAAACTTCATTGCAAAACTAGCGCATATGTGCAGTTTTAGTGCATCGTTCTGTAACATCAATCTGTATTCCAATAAGTGTGAATGCGAATCCCAATTGTGTTTACAGAAACAGTGGATTATGCAGTAAGTGTTTTATGCGAGTTCCTATTTGAAAACCAGCAATATTCTTTAACACAAACGCTATTTGATATTTATTGACCATTTTATGTCCAAGAGTTTTTGCCGTCCAGTACGCCTGTTTAAATTCAATCATATTTTACTTTAACCCACCGTGAAATTCTCTGACGGTTTCAACTGATTTATCAAATATTTATACTTAAGGTAAAGTTCCTGTTAAAAGACTTTGTATTATCCACAACTGTCTACTTGACTATACAGGGTTATTCACGCTATACGGCACGGAAGTTTGCGGCTAAACCGTTTGATTTTTAAAAAGTATTATTTTATTAATTGTACGACGCCTACCGAGCGCACATTTTAAAAATATTTTCGTAATGTACGGAGTGTCCCAAAAGCTCCAAAGGTATCAAAGTTGCGTTTTTTTAAATGGAATGTCCTGTATATTATTGCATTTTTGGATTAGCTGAACAAAATAAGTGCCTGTTTTAATAAGGTTTATAACACCTAAATCTTAAGATTTTTTAAATAATACGAATTTAATCAAAATCTAATCTAATTTTCACGTGTCAAATACTTTAGAA